TCCACAGCATCGTTGGGACTACCATAGTACATGCAACGCTGCGTCGGACGTGCAGACGGAGCAGGCCGGATCTGCATTGTCCACATCCTTATTTTCATGCTTGCAGGGCTGGCCTCGCCTCGATTTGCAGTCCTTGAGCAACAATCACAACGACGGGACACTCCAGGTCAAGCAAAGGCAAGTGAAGTGCCTCCTGGTGAAGCCATCCACGCAGAGGTCCACGAGATTCCACAGTATTTATGCTTACCTGGCACACAGACGACACGATGCATCCACCGCATGCGGTGAGCCCCTGATTCTGGATTGCCCAACTCCTGCTGCCATGCTCCCCTTGTCGGAAAACAGCCCCGATTGGGACCCTGGCCTCGTACTCGGCGCCTGCTGGATCAGTCATTTACACTTCACGGTCCGCCGCACCATTGCAGAATACACTTCTCGGTTATCAGATACAACACATGGTGTATAATATATGCATGAAATCGCCGTCCCAAAAGGACGGCACAAAGACGCGCCAAGGTTTTTGGGGGGGGGGTTTCTTTTTTTCTTTTTCTTTTTTTTTTAAAAAAAAAACCACCCCCAAAGAAACCAGGCTATATACAGGTGCAAATCCATTAAACGCTGCCCCTTTCACCATCGTCTACTCCTCAAAGTCGATGAAGCTGCTCACTGGCCAACCGTTGAGGTCCGTGTAGTGTGAGTAGGGCGTCGTGCCGTGCAGCACCGCGTACGACTCCATCTCGGTTCCGTTGCCCTTGATCATGGCCACAACCTTTTCTCCGACTTCCCGACCCTCGAACCACGATCCGTGCAGGAAGCCAAAGTACTCGGCCGACGTGTGCTCGCCTGCAAACCACAGCGCATCCACGTTGGCACGCAGGTTCTGGTGCTTCTCCAGCGTCATGCCAATCGGCCAGTTGCTGTAGCTACCGTGCGTCCACGGCTCGAGTGTCCAGCGAGGGTACATGAAGGCCGTTGGCTCAGGGACCTCAACGTCGGGGAACATGGCCCGCAGCACCGCCAGACCCTCGGCCATGGTCGCCTCGTCGCTCATCTTCTCGATCCGGTGCGACTCCTCGTCCACAACCGTGGCAAAAATGATGTTGCTGCCGGGAAAGAAGCCTTCGGTTGACAGCGACTGCCAGACCGGGTAGTAGCCCCTCCGCGCCGGGTCGGCGTACAAAAAGTACTGCGTGTCCTCGGGCCAAAAGGTCTCATTGAACTGGTAAAAGATCTTGGTGTAGGTGCCCATCTGGAACTGGTCAATCGCCTCTTGCTTCCACCCAGGCAGCTCGGGCTCAAACTCGACCACGTCGTTTTGCAGCACACCCAACGCAAACGTGCAGATGGCGTACTGCGCCTCGACACACTCGCCGTCTGTAAAGTGGGCCGTCACGCCCGAGTCCGAGTATGCCACCTTGGTGACATTGGTGTTGAGCAGCAGCCGCGAGTCGTTGGCCGCCAAAAAGGTCGACGCCTCACCAACCAGCCACTTGTTGAAGCCATACTGGTCAATGACAAAGTTGTCATTGTCGCCAAACTGGTTGAAGGTGACGTTGTCGCCCGTCACACCGAACACAAAGCTGCTCTTGTCCATGGAATAGCCAGCGTCCCAGTCCCAGTTCCACCACTCCACAGCAGCCTTGTGCATGTCCTCCTTGGGCTTCCAGCCGACTACGCTGAACCCAGCGCGGGCCGACGTGTCCTGCAGGTTCTCTATCAAGATGGTGCCCGCGTTGGCCACGGCCACATCCGAGGCATCGTCGTACTCGTCCAGAACGTCCGTATAGTTGTTGGCGCCCGTCTCGTCGTACGTCAAGATGGAGTCGTAGTCCGAGTACTCATTGGACACGTTCCACTTCTTGGAGAACGTCCAGACAGGGTTCTCGGGCGCACCAGGGTCCGACGCGTGTAGGCCCTGGATCCAGTTGGCACCAAGCTCAACCACATAGGGCGTGCCGTCACCCTTGTCGCCAAAGGTCGTGTGGTGCATGCGTCCGCCCACATAGTCATTGCGGTCCACAATCACAAAGTCCGAGATGGAGGCATTGTGGAGGGCCTGGGCGGCGGTGATGCCCGCCACACCGGCGCCGAGGACGACCACCTCAGTCTGACGGCAAGTAGTTGATCGCTTTGCACTGCGTTGCGCAACGGGCGGTGCGGCGAGTGCGATCTGGCACAAGGCCGCCAATACACCGCCACGAAAAAGAGAGGTCGACAAAGGCATGATTGCTATTGTCCAAGAAATGCACCAGAGAGGCAAACGAAGGACTCGAGGTGAGAGGAAGAGATCACTGGGAGAGATTGCAGGTAAGGAACGGCCCAGGGTGATGTGGGTGAACCCAAGACAACACGTTCCAAGCCCTCGATGGAGCGAGCGAACGATCAAGAGGCCTTGATATATATGTGTAGACCTTGTATTTTTCTCTGTCCTCGCCTCGCTCTGATCGCTCTAATGACCGAGATATGACAGTCGCATTGGGTCCGCTAAGCGGAGCCTTGACAGGGGTGGGGGAGGTCGGTAGGCATCGATCCACACACCACTCGAGCAGCATCTTGTTCGATATTTGGGTTTCTTATCGGTTCATTGAACAAGGGGAGTAGAATGGCTTGTTGGTACCGGCTATGGCTTCTTGATTGAGTATGATGCTTTACATGTTCATTCTCGTGAACATGATTCCAAGCTGGAGAAGGTGATGTGAGACAGGAAGTAATTCTGCTGCCAAGTTTATCGATCAAGAGTTCTTGATGAATTGTTGCATCCAGGTCAGTATGGATAACCCACTTTGCTACACACCTACACTCGCTAGTGTTGTGGGGCAATTGAACAACGTCTTTGCGCACCGCTTTTTCTTCTCGATTCATGGTGGGCTTGATGTCTAGATGCTGACGATGGCGGTCGGGGTGATGGTAGGGGACAAAGTCCTTGAGAATCGAGAGTCTCTAACGAAGGTAGGTGCTCTGAGAAAGCTATATTCCGTCCTGCATGCGCATATGGCCATCACGTTTGTTGTTCCCCGTCCATCTTGTCAGGGATAACCGGCATTCTTGGCAGCCGTACCTGCGTCAACAAGTGGATCGACCACTTATACCTGTACATACATACTCCATGCAAGTGCAGCGAAGCAAGCAAGCTGAACCGTCTTGGCTACTTATCACTCTATGAACTGCGGAGATGTAACGCTGATGGGGTCAGTACATGAAGGCTTATATGGTCACAGTTCCCCTCGTGGCATGGGGCTGGGGGTAGACAGCCCGCTAGTTTGGACTTGCTGTATGATAGCATAGCAGGATAGGAGAACTAAAGATAGCAAGGCTCCATTCATTTCTACCTCGGGAGAAGCTGGGAGACACCTAGGTATGAGAGAGAGGGAGAGAGAGGAAGGAAATGAGTGAGTGGTTTTCTTATCAGGAAACTGGGATCCTTGTCTTGTCAGTTCTCACCGCTTAGATGTATATTTGGATTGAAGTGGGTGGTTAGAGTCAAGTATTGAGTGCGTTCCCTTTTGTATGTGCTGGCATTCTGCTTTATTGCTTCATTGTAGATGGTATATTGGTTTTTGGAAGATTTGTATACCAGAATGGCAGTGGGATGGGGGATGGGGCTTTTTTTTTTTTTTTTTTTTTTTTTTTTTTTTTTTTTTTTTTTTTTTTTTTTCCTGGTTGGATTGTGGGGCTGCATGTATACAGAGGAAAGAAAGTACATGGTCTAGGATTATCTGTGCGTCGTACAACAGTAAGTAAGTCGGTAGACCTATGCCGGGCTAGATGGGATATGTGGCAGCGGCAGCATACTCCCTCTCTCTGTCAAAGGGAATGTCAGTATCTAAGAGCGTATTGTTGCTAAGGATTATGCACGGTTAGTAGATTTGAGAATGATCGAAGATGTGTTCAGCTCGGAAGCGGTTCCCAGTTTAAGACTAGTTGTACATGGCTACACCTGGGTGATGACTTTGTCACTTGATCAATTGACTAACTGTGAGCATGGGTCTAGTCTGTTGATGTGTTGCCTTGCCCTTTGATTTCCTGGCATGAGTTTCAATGGGGCTAACTTCATGTTAATAGTATATGTATATCCATCAATGAAGTGTCAAGAGTATACGTGGATTAACGTGGATTATTATGGAGGATGTGAGAATCTAGGGATCTGGACGAGAATCCCATATGAAATCACAAACCCTGGCTATGTAATAACGTTCCAGGCCGGTCTTGGTTTTTTTTTGGGGGGGGGGAGGGGTTTTCAGCTTGAATTACTCTTGATAAGGATGACCTGGTTGTCCAGCCGGCCTATGGGGAAATGGAAGCGAAAACGAGGGGTTGTTGTGAGTGGTTCGAGCCTCGGCTCTGGCTTCGCGACCCTGGTAGTAGATGGAAGCGATTGATAGACATGTGTATAGTAGACATGTATAGAAAGGGAGAAAGAGAGATCCGTTGGCTTCTTGTTGGCTTGGAAGGGCAGGTGTATGCGAGTTTTCATGTAGTAGATTAGGTATAGCGGTATCAATATGCTCGCGTACCTTTAAGCTGGATACTATGTGTGAAATTGCTAGTAGGGTGATTCTCGGTGTGGATTGAAGAGTTTAGTGACGACCTGGATGATGCATTGACGCCGGGTGTTTGGAACCGGTTGGACAGTCTTGATGAGTATTGTTTTATATCTTTACATGGAGAGAGAGAAAAGAGACATATTGAATGGTTATGGGAAAGAGAAGCTTTGCCTGCCATCGAGACCGAGAGATGAATCTGCGGGATATAGTCTACAGCCATGTTATAGCACCAAATAATGAAATTTACACAGGTTTCGAGGATCCCTGTGAATTGTGATGTTCGGCTGTTGTGGCAGATATGTTTGGGTATTAGGACTCATGGAGTTCAAAGACGGCTGGGAGCCCACGATCCAAAAGACCCTCCGTGATTGCATGACCCGATACTTCTTTGGGATTGATCTGCGAAATTTTAGTATATAATAATTCATGCACAACATATTTCAACAACAAACAAATGGTCAGGTGGTGTAGTTGGTTATCACGTCAGTCTAACACACTGAAGGTCTCCGGTTCGAACCCGGGCCAGATCATCTTTTGCCCTTTTTTGCTCCCACCCTCATACTTGGCTTCGATTCCAATGCTGGATGCATGGAGGATCTGGCTTTTTTTGCGAATTGTGTAAGATTGATTGAGGAGCGTGAAGAGCGCGGATGATGGTGTTGCCCTGTGATTATGTGCCCAAGTGGTTACTGATATGGCAACTGTTCAATACTCGTCCTTACGGTGATAGTAGCTGTATAATGCGAAAGGACTAGTCCGTTTCAATCATGACATCTCATTGAACTGGTGTCTTTTAACTGGAAACTTGGACACAGTGGCCGAGAACTACGATGGAGCACCTATCTTGCCCGTTTGACTGCTGCTTCACTGCGCATTCTCGACGGTTTGGGGATGTCTTGATCTGCCGTTGACATGGAGTCGAGTTTTGGTGTCAACAGTATACATGCAGTCTGGCTGCCTCACACGTAAGTCGAGCACTACAACATGAACATGAACATGAAGATGAATCCTTGCTTTATTATAAATTTCGGTTTCGATATTGCTCCAATCACCGGATACCTAACTTGTGCATCTCGTAGTTATCTATGCTGTGTACCTTAAACCCTGGCTGCAATTTCTACAACCAAGACCTTGTCGGGTATACGGTATTCAGACGAACCCATGTAAGTAGTCCGTGTTCCTCTGGGGACTGTATCAATCGTCGATTTTGTGCCCGTCGAGAGCCACTTGCACAGTGGCAATCGTCAACAGACAATTTTTGTCCACATGCTCATTTCGACCATGTCTCTGCCGGTGAACTAAGTTCTCGGTAAGAACCCATGCATTCAGACGAGAATGCCGAGTCCCAAGGCTCAGCAGAGACAAGTAGTCGGTTTGGAGTGGAATCGAGATGCGTTTCCGTAGAGCCAAGTTGGAAGCCGTCATGGCTTTTCACGTAAAAGCCTTGACTGGGCTGCTCAGCGTGGAGATCAGAAAGCAAAGCCTCCAAACAAACGGGGCAAAGAATCCTACCCCAAGCATCACTCACTCCTTTCTTTGGGTTGGGTTGGGTTGGGTTGCATGCGCCACTAAAGGACGGGACTGCCTGCTGCAGTCAGCAAGTCACTGCGCAACGCTCGACGGGGGGGATTCTCAAAAGGCTCACTCGGCTCGGTTTCCCCTCCTCTCCCTCTGTCCATGTCCAAGAATAAATAAGCATGATAAGCCTGCTGTCAGCTTGACACTGCTGACTTTACACCTTGCTGGCCCTGTTTTTTTTTAATTAAACTTTTGGTTGTTGTCTTGCAAAGCCCTGCTATCCATTGTCAGCACCTCGTTGGCTGGTTGTGAAATATGTCTTTCTTGGTCCTTGCTACTGTTTTGGCTGGCTGGCTGATTGACTGATTGCTTGATTCATTGACTTGAGGAGCGACTTGCGGTTGTCAGTTACACCATCCAAGCCACTCAAGCCATTGGACACCCTGTGGAAAGGAAATCGAGACTCGAGAGATAGCAGTCACTGTGACAAGGACCACCAAACACCAATGAAGATGCGCCTTGCGCCGCCATGAGAATAAGCCAGAGTGTACAAGAGAGAAACACGCACACACACACACATACACACACAGAGAGAGAGAGAGGGAGAGAGAGAGAGAGAGAGAGAGGGAGAGGGAGAGAAAGAGAGGGAGAGTAAGAGAGTAGACTGGGCCAAGGACTATAGCCAAGCCCGTCTCCTTGACCACGCCAACTTGAAGTTGTCTGTAAAAAGAAGGAAAAAAGAAAAGGAAATAAAGAAAAAAAAAGAAAAAAAAAGGCGACCACATTTTCCGCACAAGTCAACCAACTACGCCAGACACTCATCATCCCCAAAGCCCACAATGTACAGCGTGTCGTCCGTCCTGCTGGGCCTCCTCGACATCCTCACGCCCAGCTTCCTCCGCTCGCACTCGCATGTGCCGCCGGCCTGTGCCTACGCCTACGCCTACGCTGGCGCTGGCGCTGGCGTGCCGAGTGCAAAGGGCAACGGCAGCAATGGCTCGCGGCCCTTGGCATACCTACAGGGCCTGCGCGGCCTGGCCGTCTTTCTCATCTTTACCTCGGCGTACTTACAGCCTCTGGACCTGTTGACGCCCATCATCGCCTCCTCGTGGGTCATTGACGTTAGCAAAACGAGCAGTCCTGTCGATGCTGAAGCAGGGGGCGGAGGAGGAGGAGGAGGAGGAGGAGGAGGAGGAGGAAGAGGAGACGGGTTTGCCTCAGCAACAACCACAAGTGGTCTGGAACCAGAGTACCGCATTGTCCAGACAGACGAGATTCGCACTCGGCTGCTGGGGCTCCCGATCGTGCGTCTGTTGCACAGCGCATCAGCCATGACGTGCATTCTGTTTGTCACGTCGGGCTATCTCCTGTCGGCACACGCCATTCGTCTTTCTCAGTCGCAGAGAGCAACAGCTCAGAGGCAAATACGCGACTCTCCTTGTCGTCCTTGTCGTCCTCGTCCTCGTCCTCACCACCAGCACCAGCAGTCCCAGCGATCCACCACGGACAGCGACCTCCTCCGGTGCTTCTCAGCCAACACCGTCCAACACGGCCTCCGCATCTTCCTCCCAGCTGTCGCACTCTCCTTCTTCACCTTCCTCCTTGTCTGCTGCCATGCGTACGGCGGCGGCGGCGAAGACGGGTCCGCGACAAAACAACGCTTCTTCTCGCCCCAGGCCGTCTTCCCCGAGTTCCGGCCGCTCTTCCACCCACCGCCTGAGACACCGCACCCTGCTTCGGGAGGCGGCGGTCTCGTCTCGGTGCTCGACGACTGGCTCTCCTTCCTGCTGCACGACGTGCTCAACCCGTTTGACTGGCGCCCGTACTGGGCCAAGCCCGTGACGCTGTACGGGCCGCATCTGTGGGTGCTGGCGTGCGAGGGTCGCGCGGCGGTTGTGTTGCTGGGCGTCATGGCTGCCACGTTGCGCATCCGGTCGCGCGGCAAGCGGACGGGGCTGCTGGGTGCATTGATGGTGTATGCTGCCGTGTGGGAGAGGACGGAGGTGGTGCTGTTTCTGGCGGGCCACTTGCTTGCCTTTTGGGACGGGCATGCTGGGGGGTTGGTGGCGGAGGATGTGTATGACAGCGGGTGGGCAAGTGATGTGGAGGAGGAGGAGGAGCAGGAGGAGGACGACGACGACGACGACGGGCATGACGGACGAGGGAGAGTGGATCGAGACGACGACGTGGAGAGCAAGCCAGGCAAGATGCACTTGCGCTCCATGATTTCGCCGCCGTCGCCGCCACCAACACCACGCCGGCCCTCCCATTCCCATTTCCATTCCCATCCATCAACCAGGTCCTCTTCTTCTTCTTCCTCCTCCTCCTCCTCCTCCTCCTCGTCGCTCGTCCGCCTCGCCACCTTGCTCCTCGCAGCGTACCTCCTCTCCTACCCAGACAAACACGCCCTCTACACGCCAGGCTTCCGCACCCTGGCGCGCCGCAACCTGCTCCGCAAAGAAACATGGCAAGCGCTGGGCGCCACCTTGCTGGTCTGGTCTCTGGGGTCTTGTCGTCGTCGTCGTCGTCATCCATCATCTCCTTGCACCATTTCTTCCTCCTCGGCGCATCCCACAACAACAACATCAACATCAACAACAACAACAGATATGACCAAAAAACCCAGGGCCAACCAGCCGGGACCTGCTCCGCTGGCGCGCGCCATCCTCCTCTCCGATCTCGTCCAGTACCTGGGCCACATCTCGCTGGCGCTGTACCTCGTCCACGAGCCCGTGCTGCAGCTGTGGGGGTGGTGGTTTACCGGGTGGTTGCTCGATTCTGGACCGACACGAGGCGGGCTTCAGCAGCAGCAGCAGCAGCAGCACGCTTCTGCCGCGGCAGCATCGACAGCGTTGCTACTCAGCGGGACCTCGGCCATCCCAGCGCTCTTTGTCGCTTCCAGTACAGTCATGGGCGCGGTGCTATACGTAGCGGATATGTTTTGGCGGCTTGTCGATGCGCCGTGTGCGAGGCTCGCGCAGCAGGTATATCTCTGGGCGTTGCAGCGGGAAGAAGATGATCCATGATGGATGATTTTTCCCTTTTTTTTTTATACCCTTCCTTTCTTTTGGCTTTGGTTTTGGTTTTGGTTGGACATTGTAGATGTCTTGGGTTTAGGAGTATAGCGTTTGGATATGCAGAAAGTATACATAAATATATATATAAATATACATATAACTATATATATAAATACATATATAAATATACATATAAATATATATATATATATACATATATATATATATATTCAGATATATTCGCATGTATATGGAACGTTCTTGGGTCTCCATCTTGTCATTGTCTTTTGTCCCTTTATTGTATGCGAGATAAAGTCAAGGGGCAAGACGAGTCTTTTTTTATTTTTATTTTTTATTTATTGCTTTATATTGTAATACGTGCCATCATGGCCTATCGTTTTGTTTTTCTTAACCAGCCACCACAGCCGTCTTTAGCAGAGATCTGCCGTCCAGCCGTCGTGCTTTTTGAATCACACTGCCTTTGACTGCCTCAGCCTGGCCAACCTCGCCTTGATCCTGTTGCGCAACCGCGTCAGCGTGACTTCGGGGCCTTCATCAGCAGCCACAAAGCGCCTCGTCAGCAGGTTGAACATGCCGCCAAACGCCATTGCAATCGCCGTGGACGTGAAGATGATGACATTGTACGGCATGCTGAAATCGGGCGTCGGCAGGTTGAGCAGCAGCGCCGTGGTGCGCAGGTTCGAGGTCGCCGCCCTTTTCGTGGTGGTTGTGGTTGTTGTCCCGTCGTGCGCGTCGCCCGTGCCGAGAATGGTAATGACGGCGCCAGCAACGTCAAAGCCTCGGTTTGCGTCGGGAGGGTACTCGGTGTACCGCAGAATGGACTTTTCAAAGTCGTAGGTGAGGAAGACGGTGGACTGTGGCGGGATGCGCAGCTTGACCTCGAGCTGGGTGCCGCGCGTGCGGTCGAGCGCAGGGCGGTAGTAGATGTCCTGGATCACGTTGTTGTGCGGCTTGCCTTGTTGTGTCCCTTTTTG